ATTTTGGTTACTTTTCGCTTCGTGGCCAGTGTGTGATAAGGTCCATAGTCCAACACTCAAACCACCACACTATGCTAGCCCCCAAAGGCATCCTTTTAATTTCTCAAAAGTACCTCAGAATGATGCTAGGTCAGTGCATTGTAGGAAATTAAAAGCATGGCTGGATAGCAAGTCCCAGTCAGCTGGTACCATTTGGAGTGCTTGTCCAGAAAAAAATAAAAATAAAGGTGGTTCAGAGAAGATTCAGAGAAAGAGTGGGCTCTGACCAAGGATGTAAGGTGCTGAGAGCAGCACTGGATGTAGGAATATAAGTATTATTTTATTGGATTTCAACATATAATCAAGCACTCTGATCTAAGAACAGCCAGCCCGAAAACTCAGCAAAACTACCAAACAAGATTATTTTCTTTGTCCTTAGCCTGAATAGATCAGAGGTGTACAATCTCTATAGATGGGTGAGTATGGTACATGGAAGCATATCCATAAAAATATTGTAGCTTAGCAGCCGTTGTTAATATTAATTTTGTTAAATTATGTTTTTGAAACAAAATTAAGACAGAGTGTAAAGTACTTTTCTCCAAGTAAAATTCAGAGAACATTTTGGGCAGAGTGATGGGAGGGGTATGACATTTCATTGGGTAAATTGTCATCACCTCTTGACATTGTGGTTTGTTGTTGTTGTTGTAGTGCCTTCAAGTCATTTCTGACTTATGGCGACCTTAAGGCAACCTTATCATGGGGTTTTCTTAGCAAGATTTATTTAGACTGAGGAGCTTTGCCATTGCCTTCCCTTGAGAGCATATGACACATCTAAGGTCACCCTGGGGTATTCATGGTGGAGGTGGGAATAAAACCCTAGTCTCCAGAGTCATAGTCCAACACTCAAACCACACAGGAAAAAAAAAGCTGTGGAGGCAGGGTGACCACACATCTTCCTTTTCCTGGACATGTCGTACATGGCAACCTTTTGTTCAAGAGGAATTTCAAAATGTCAAAATGTCCTACATTTTGAGCATGACTAAGATGCATGAATTTACATTTCTATGAGTGTTTTTAGCTTTTATTTGGTAAGGAGCTACATTTTTCTTGAGTGTTTAATATTTTGCAGTGCCTTGTCCTCCTTTGCGGTTAGGACATCTGGTCACCCATTGGGGAGGTGATGAT